TTCTCTTCATCTATCTTGTCACACTGGGGGGAAACTTGGGGATGATCACTCTCATATGGATCGATTCCCGACTCCATACCCCCATGTACTTTTTTCTCAGTCACTTGTCCTTTGTAGATACTTGTTCCTCTTCTTCCATTGCCCCCAAGATGCTGGGTGATATCTTCGCAGAGAAGAGAGGCATCTCTTTCATGGGTTGTGCTGCTCAGATGTGGTGCTCTGGTCTTTTTGTGGGAACCGAATGTTTCCTCCTGGCTTCCATGGCCTATGACAGGTATATGGCCATCTGTAAGCCCCTGTTCTACACACTCATTATGTCCCAGAGGGTCTGTGTGCAGCTGGTGGCAGGGCCCTATGCCATGGCTCTTATAAGCACCATGACTCATACAGTTCTCACCTTTTGCTTACCTTTCTGTGGTCCAAATGTTATCAACCACTTCTTCTGTGACATTTCACCGCTGCTGTCCCTGGCATGTGCAGACACCTGGACCAACAAGTTAGTGCTGCTCATCTTGGCTGGAGCTATAGGGGTACTCAGTGGGCTGGTCATCACGGTGTCCTACGTGTGCATCCTGGTNTGTGATACTCAGTGGGCTGGTCATCACGGTGTCCTACGTGTGCATCCTGGTGGCCATCCTGAAGATCCAGACTGCTGATGGGAGGTGGAAGGCGTTCTCTACGTGTTCTTCTCACCTGGCAGCTGTCTCCATCCTCTATGGAACTCTTTTTTTTATCTATGTTCTCCCTGACTCAGGTTCCTCCTTTGATATCAATAAAGTGATTTCTCTGTTTTATACTGTGGTCATCCCCATGCTGAACCCCCTCATCTACAGTCTGAGAAACAAGGAGGTGAAAAATGCATTCAGGAGCAAGTTTGAAAGAAAAATGCAGTAATGTGATCCAGTAATGGGTGGGAAATTAGAGTTAGAAAATTCCTGAGTCTGCCTGTTACCAGGGCACTTGTAGACTGAAGTACTGTTTATGTTGCTTTACATCAGTCTTGTCTTTTGTGAAATGATGGAGAATACGACAGAAAATGTAATTTATGCCAGAAGAAATCCAGAAAAAATTTTATATATACTTATACGTGGGAAGATATTTTATTCCAGACCAGAAAAGCAAATGTTGAAAGGGAAAGATCAACAGAGTTCATTAAGATAGCTTTGGTAGACCTTGTTAAAAGTTGAACAATGGAAAGTGAGAGAATAATTACAAAAGAAGGGACTCACAGTGAGTTAACCTCCCAACAGGAAAATGTTGGAATACATGTATGAAACACAGTAGGAAAATGAAGCACAGCAGAGAAATAAGCCAAGAAATGAGTGGCTAATTCATACAACTGGAAATGCAAATGGCCACAAATTAAATATATATATAATTATAATTAAATATATTTATATATATAATTGCTCGACTTCACAATTGCTCAAGTAAATGAAATAGAAACGACTAGATGATGTTCCCCACCCCCCATCTATTAGATTAGCAAACATTAAAATGATTATGTGCAAGGCTGGTAAGGTTACCATTTGGATATGAATA